GGCAGGAACATACATACACACCAGGGTTTTAATAGTTTTGCAATTTTCATTAGTTTTTATTTTTATTTAGTTTTGACTTCAGATTTTCAATTTTATATCAGTTTTAATTAGTTTTTACCAATTGTTTGCTAGTTTAGTTTAGTTTTTATTTTTTTGAAAATCCTTAGTTTCAGTTTAGTTTTGATTAGTTTCAGTTATAGTTTTAGTTGTGTTTGCAATAATTAAGTTTCATCATATCAGTCATGCTCTTCTGCTTATCCTTGGGTATGTTGCTATTCCAGCTACCATACCCTGCACCCCGGACAGGTCGCCTGTCTGTCGCAGGGCTAACACGCAGAGACAGACAACTCACATTCCCACCTATGGGTTCTTTAAATAAATAAATGAATAAAGGCAGATGAACAACCATTGATACCAGGCAACTATAAAATGTATATTTAGGCCCCAATTAGACTTTTAACTCTTGCAGCACCGGGTGTTCGTAATTTTGTTTCAAGTGAATTGATAAACTTTTTGAAGGCAATTGACTCACACAGTTATGTAGATATCCCCGTCCTGTTGTCTCGGGATGCATCACGCTGCCTTGCCTTAGCGTCTGTTTCTGGGGATGAGGGTTGAGTGTGCTCCCTTACCTTCTCAAGGTAAGCTAGGTTAGCCTTCTTGTGTGAGCTTTTCAAGTGCACTTTAAGGTTTGTGGGATTTTTTCCCCTCATAATTTGTCTCTTTCCACTACAAGACACTTGCTTTATCCAAAACACAGTCATATTCAAAGCAATCCCAAATCGGACTCTGGCGCTTTCTCCCGACTTTTCCTGACATGATTCTGCGCGTGGACGGAGCAGCAACACAGACGACTCGACTAACGTACTGCCACCTGCTGGCATAATGAGACACAGCAAGAAAAAAATCTGGAAACTAAACTTCATTTTCACCCTTGACTATTGTATGACACGCACACATCAACAAAAACTAAACACATTTTTGCTATAAATTCAGTTAATTTTAGTTAGTTTTGTGAACACTCATTACAGTTTTAGTTAGTTTTCCTTTTGTTGTTTTTATTTTTATTTCTGTTAACGAAAATGTTTTTTCACTTCTAGTTTTCGTTATTTCGTTAGTTTTCGTTAACGATAATAACCCTGTGACACATGTTCGTTTCCTTTCCTAGCTTCTTCTGACATGAACGAAAAATTAATGTAGAGGTGTCTTGTCAACTGAGCAAGTTGAGTTGTAATGGCATTGTAGAAATTTTGCATTTTAAATGTACAATGTTAAATAATTTTAGCTTCAAGTGAAAACTTGAAACTTTCAGCTTCTGCTTTGGCCTAGATTCTTTCATTGTGTGTTAAGGTGATCTTTGGAACAGATTCTTGATTTACTCTTCATGTATAAAGTGTTGCGAACATGCACAACATAACATTAAAGATATTAGCATCCACTATCTAATAATACATAAAGCTTAGGGCAACTTTTAACTCCTCCACTGTTCCCAGACAGATTCCTATTCTGCTCATTTGTGGCTCCATGTTTTTATTTTGGGTTCTTTAATATTCTTTTTTACAGTTTAAAGTAAACCTTTTTCATGCTACATGGACTTTTTAAACACCTAATTTTCCTGTTAATTGCAGCGTAGTCGTGTCCGTTGTTTTATAAGTGGTTAAGTGGTGACATCCAATAGACTCAAATAAATTTGTCTCTCCTGGGTTTTGTGTCTTTGATGTGGTCCAGGTGTGTTCATCCCTTAATTTTTTCCACTTTGTACATTTCCTAACATCCATTCCAACAGTTTCAGAAACCTTCCTCCTGTAATTTCCTGATATTTGTGAGTACTTATATTGATGCTGGGATAATTATTCATCCTAGTTAGGCAATGTTTGTTATTCTCTCACTAATAAATTCAAAAACTACATAAAAATAGTTGGAAAATGCACAGGAGGCAGGCTGAGCAGGCCAATCATGAAGTTGAATTTCTAGGGGCACAGCAGTTTTTGCTGTTGGTTCCAGAGTACGATTTCAGGGGAGTTTACGGCTATGGCGTCCATTTACCGTTGAAGCATAAATGCCCACTATGTCTGTGCAATGTAAGACTGCACCAGTGTTTGAGTACTGCAGCTAATGGTAGCATTTACCAAAGGAAGAGATAACTGTGGAAATTATTTTACCTGACCTTTAGTGTTTTTAACACAAATTTCAACTCATTTTAATTTTTGAATTCTGTAAGAACACTTATTTTGAAATTTCATTACATTTACTTTATCTGCCAGTTCTGTTTGTTGTAACTTTTGCTGGCTTTTCACCAGGAGAAATAAAGGATAATAATAAAAATATTTCAACAGCTTCCTCCCTTCCATCTGTCTCTTTAACGGATGTGCCGATCTGAATGAAACTTTGGATGAACACTGTCAAACAGATAGCAATTATTAACTGCCATATGTTTTTTTAAAAATAATTTATTATGAATCCATTGTGATGTTTATACTGATCATCACCCCGCGAGTACAGAAGGGGGTTAGGATCACTGGAAATAAAAGGGGGGGATGTCTTTTTTTTCCCCCAGAAAAAAAAAAGTCAGTTCTGTTAGTATTAGAGCAAAGCTCTACTTTTATTTACTTTCAATGTTAGAATACATCTAAACTGTTTCTAGGGTTATAAAATTTTTTAAATGCCATTACCCTTTACATACTTCTAGCTGACACATACTTGTCTACAGTAATGTGTTATTTTTCGGTCTGCTGCATGATAATTATTTTAAAGTGTTGTTGCAGCAAGTGTCAGAATGTCTAATTTCTTTTCTACATTGTTTCCTCTGTGTAATTAGCTCCACCAGTGACTTTATGTAAAATAGTTATGCCAAGTTTTAATTGATTAAAAGTCAGCGTGTTATTGCAAGGAAGAACAATGTAGATCCAATTAGCACTGTAATGTGTAAACATGAACACTAACTCCCATGGTGCACCAGGGTCTGAATGTGTGTGTGTATGTTATTCAGTGATCAGCCTCATTTCTTAATCATCACTTTCTGCTCCAGATGAGACTTTATGAGGGGACTAAATTGCCTTAAAGGGATTTCTTATTAAAGGGATTACACCCATGTAATCCCCTTTGTCCCAGCGGACCCCCAAAAAACCTGAACACACACACAAACATACATAACCAGATTAGCATGTGGAAATAAATGTGCACAATCTTTTTTGATATGCTACAAATGAAAACACACATGTTAAATAGCAGAGCACAACCATCACACCTTTGAAACTTGTGTACCTAATTATGTGTGTGTGTGTAAATGTGCGTCACACAAGCTGTGTTTGTGCATTTCTAACCTTGACAGGAATTTGTTTGTGCAAGCTGCGTGTTTTGCTTTTGCAAGCACCAGTGTGTGTTCATGTGTGTTTGCGTGTAAGCGTAACGCTGTGGTTTAGATGGCGCTTGCTCGTCTCATCCCCAATTAACGAAGACAAATCCGCTTCCATCGCCACTAATGAGAGTCTTTAAGGTGAAGGGACTCTGTATTTATTTAATAAGAGGGAGCTTATTTATTCCATTTCCATAAGAAAGACAAAATGCTGCTGATTCTCCACGGCTGACAAGGGACGGATTAGAGGAGCGGGATGAGAGGAGAAGAAAGAGCAGGCGAGAAGGGATGAAAGAGAGAGGGGTGGAGGTGTTAGTTGGCCTGTTAAAAATATAATACTAGTGTAGCATTCCTAGAGCGATTATATTGATTTGAACTGCGAGCAAGAGGGGCTGCAGTGTTAAAGAGATGACCCAATCAAAAACAGTGGTCAAAATCATAGCCCATTCTACCAAATGGTAGGGCTCCTAAACTATCCTACTCTTTAAGGTTATTACTGTTTTTTCTGTCCAGACCATAACACTTACAAGAGGAGTGATTGTAGTAACGCTTAGCACCGTGGCTTTGTTGTGCAACTTCCCCGTCCTAAGTTTAAGATGGGGAGGGTAGCAAAAGGACCCCAGCCCAGAGCAAAGCAGGTGTCAATGATAACAGATATGACACTGATAGCTCAGGTGGAGGTGGGTTGCAAAGCACCTTGCAGGTGTGCAGCAACTTTGAGCAGGCTAAACTAGATTTTCCAAATGGATGCATAGAAGAACATTACAACAGTAAGACTATCTAATCTGCTAGGCTTGTGGCAGAGCTCGACTTTTTGACCTGCCTGAAAGTATAATATTTTACATATAGCCATTCTTTTACTACACAGATTGATTAGTAAATACTCAGATGGTACCATCTTTACTTAACAAGGTCACTTACCAATAAAATATAACATGTCAAAGAGAAAATAAAAAAAGAAAAGAAGAATTCATTAGACGGGAATATTTTGCAATAAACTGATGCATTTGCCTTTTCCAAGAGATTTTTCTGTTAAGTAAGAGTCTTAATTGCCTCTCTTTTCTGCTTGCTCAATAACTCCATCTACAGCAGACTTTTAATGCATGCTCAATGCATTTTGTCTTTTCTTCCTGAGGGAAAATCTTCAATCCTACCAGTTCTACAAAAGTGTGCATTGTGAGATGGATTGCCTTTATTGTATTGGTGGAAGTAGAAGAGTGACATAGGGGAACAGGGTGAATTTAGGAATCAAAGGAACAGCATGGGATATAGAGATATGGAACTATGGATTGAAAAATAGCCGTGGAGTAAAGGGTGGAGGAGAAAGAAAGATGACAAGCTGCGGAGTAGGAGGACGAAGAATCAGCAAAAAAAAGATGAAAATGATACCCCAAAGAACAGAATTTCAGCAATTAACAATTTCCGAACTGTCCAAAAACAGACAGCCATTGCTTCTCCATATTTGAGATTTGAGTGTTTTTCAGCACACACAAATTCTTCACTGGTTTGTGGGACCAATTATTAAAATAAATGACAAATAATAAACAGTAAACTATGAGCCAAGAAATTAAAGATTGTGTAGAAACAAAAGAAAGAACGAAAATGGTTTTACAGGATGATTTTTAGCAACGCTTTATTTCTGCAGGTGGAGCTCACTGGTAGCAGTGTGTTTGACTACATCCACCCTGGCGATCATGTGGAGATGGCAGAGCAGCTTGGGATGAAACTTCCTCCAGGCCGAGGGATGTCTCTATCCCAGGGAGCAGTCAACGAAGACGGGGCTTCTTCGGCTTCTTCATCGTCACACTCTGAGACGCCCGAACCAGGTAGGTAAACATGGCAGAGTGGCTTCAAATTAGGAAATTTTATTTGTATTTTTGCCACAGATCCTCAAGCTGAGAAAAGAAGTTACAAAGGTTCAAACAGGACAATACTTACGACTGCTGTGAAGTACTTCACCATCAAAATTAAGCAATCCATTTGAGTTCTAGAGGCTTGAAAAATGAAATTGACAACAGGCTTTGCTTTTTAAGAGATTGATGACTGACCTTGATAAAACCAAAGGAGAATTGCAATGACTCTGACTAAACCAGACAACTCAAGACTTTTGACTCAGAAAGCTTCTATATTCTCTTGAAAAGTATGCAGATAAACCTTTTTGGACTAGATTTTTCAGGAAGTTTCTCCTGAAGCTAGATGAAATCAAAGTTTGTAACAGACTGATTGAAAGACATTGAAATAGCATTGGGGAGCACTTTATATGGCAGTCAAATTGTAGGTGTTAGCCTCAGCAGAATATCTGAACGGTCTCGGGTCTAGATGTTTGAGTCTGAATTATGTCGTCAAGGTGATGCATGCAGGAAAAAAATGACCAGTCAAAAGTGTAAACATATGTTTTGATCCTGTTAAGCTGGCCATTTAAACATGGGAGTCAGTGATGCTTCTGTGTTGGCTCCATTTTTCAGTCTGCAGGGTTCTCCTTGGTCGCAACCCATTTCTCGCTAACATTCTCTAACCTTGATGCTTCTATCGTTTGCTGAATGTTTGAACAAATTGATTCAACACACTGTAGAGCCATCACTGCTATAAACTGGGAAAGGACACATTTCTCATTGGAATTCTTTGCCTTGTCTCCTCCATCCCTCCATCCATTTATCCCTCCATCCTCTCCTGCACCACATGTTCAAGACTTTTTACCTTACAAACGCTTTGGATTGTGCTCTCTCTCTCTTTCACTTTCTCCCTCTCTCATGCTGATGATAATTTAAGTATTAGGGGAAAATCCATTTATAAATTAAACAAAATGACTTGATATCCATCGAGTCCCTTAGTTCATCAGCCTGTTCAAACAAGGAGTTGAAGATTGGCTTCGCGGGAGCCGGGGTCTTCGGAGACGGCACCGTAATTAGATCTGCCGCGGATTTATTCTTGGCTGATTGGTGCAGCTGATGGATGGGTGGGGGCTTTAAATTAATTGAAGTTCCACATTTGAGGTTTTTGTTCCCCCAGTTTTTTTTTCCTTTGACATTCTGCAAACCTCTAACCTGGTCTCCCCACCCTCCAAACTGGATATGTATAGGGAGATAGGATAAGAGCACATGTATGTGGTCATCAGCATCTTTTTGTCTGACGAGAAAGAAAAGCAGCAGAAATTAAACATGTATAGGCAGAAAATAATACAAATGGGAGTTTACATGAATTTCTTTGTGATTCCTAAGTTAATTCAACCACACGATGAAAAAGAGCAAAAGAGAAAAGCAAGGAAACGAGGACAAAGGTGTTTGTTCTCCCATGTTAATTTGCCTAGAGAGATGGAAAGAAAGAGAGGCAGGGGATGTAGGGACATGTTTGAATGTGCATGAGTGCTTAGCAATGTTAATTTGTCCAGAGAAAGAGAGAGAAAAGGGAGGGAGAGGTTTCAGGCAGACATATATGGATGTGAAAGAGTGATCCCCAATGATAACTTGACCAGAGAGAGAGGAAGAGGGAGGATTAGGATTCATGTATGTGTTATTTAATGTTAATTTGGAAAAGGAAGGGGTGCAGCAGAGCTTGTATGAATTTGTATGAGTTTTTCTCAGGAGAAGAAGGGGCTTATTTCAGGTGTCCAGGGTAACAGTGCTGTTCATCTCAACCTCCAGTATTGTAAATTGGATGTTTTTCAGTTCTTTCACTGGTGCTTTTTTCTCTGAGTTGGATTGTTTCTGCAATGAGATTTTGGGGCATCGGTCTGTCCTGTATCTTTTTCCTTGACTCTACAGCCACACTAAGGGTGGGAGATATCCTTCTGCTGCGGTTAGGACTGTAGCCTCAAACCTGGTCTACATCACTTTTGAATCTCCTGGTTGGCTGGATACTTTCTGTGTGGACTTTAGATGTTCTTTGTGCACCTCCATGGGTTTTTTGTCATTAGGGGTTGAGGAAGGATCTAAAAGCTGGAACAAACTAAAAATTTTATTTACATAACCCCAAGTTACTACAACAGCTGCCTCAAGGCACATTATATTGTAAGGCAAAGACCCTACAGTAATTCAGAGAAGACAGAAAAAAGCCAACAATCAGATGACCTCCTATGGGCGATCTCTTTGGCGACAGTGGGAAGGAAAAACTGCCTTTTAATATTTGCTAAAACTGATTGGGGTGGAAGTTCAACAAAGTACATCAAAGAGAACATACAGCAAAGAAACCACAGATTTAAAATTCTTCAACAATGACAAACATGAAATAAATCCACAGGCTGACAAAGAACTTTTTATTCTTCTTCAGCGATTGACACCATCAATCAAGTGTATTACACTCATCTTGTAAAAGAATCCATGCGCCAATATTCTTACCCCTGTAAATCTATATGTAGTATAATCATAGATATCCACTTTGAATCATATAATCTTTGATCAGAGCAGTTGTGAGAAAATATGTTAATACTGGTCAGTTCTCTATGAAAACTCGCCTGAGAAACAGCAGCTTTATTCTGAAAAAAGCCTTACCCTTATCCTCAATCCTAAGGTTTTAAATCTCTAATTGCTCTCATCTACTAACTGGAAGGTTGGTGGTTCAGTTCCTGGCTGTTACAATCTGCATGCCAAATATCCTTGGGCAAGATACTAACCCCAAGTTGCTCTCCGGTGCGTCTGTCAGAGAATGAATGCATGTCATTCTTAGATAGAAAGCTTTTAAGTATAGAAAGAATGAGTGAATTGGGCATCTTTGATTTGATTCTACAGCAGTGAAACAATACTAAAGGGAAACTTTTTTTTTTATTCAGTAAGTTACAGAATTTGATTGTGAATCTCAAATCATCTCATTTCAAAGCCAAGTCAAAACAGCCCTTTTGTTTCAAAGGAACTTACTGTTCCACGGTACAAAGCAAGAAATTAGGTTCAGATCAGACAGGGTCATTATAGTCAAAAAGCAGAAATCATTTTTTCCTCATTTCCATCTAAAATGAGTTGTATTTGGTGATATGGGACTTCCCCACCATTATGCATCCATGTTGAAATCCACAGGGAGAGAAAGCAACAGAAGGATCTCAGCACAGAACAGAGAAGCTTCAGAAACATCAGATATAAAGGTGGGTTGTAAATGGGCTTGCAGAATATAGGGTTAGCCAGTTGTATATTTAGATATCAATTAGCTGATCTACTGGTGTGCCTGATGTATCGCTATGCTCCATTAATTATAAATGATATCTACAACAGAATACAAGACCATGTTTCTGCAGAAAGCAAAATCTGCATCATGACCGGTTTTTATTTATAAATTCCAATTTGATACAAGACGTGAACTCCAGCATTTGCTCACTGCAGATGGCCATGAATGTTTATGGTTTATGTTTAAAAGATTATATTATTATTTGCGGAATGACTTTAGGAAAGATTCTGATCAGTCACAAAGATGCTCTGCAGCAGGACAATGAGCCAAGATATCTGAGGAGACACCTACAAAGCTAAGATAACAGCATAAGCAGATTTCCAGTTAACTGCCTACAACTTATTGTCCTGTTTGCTAAATAAAGGCGACTCCGTCCGCATTTCAAGAAACCAAAAGTTGTCTTTTCCATGTGAAGTTTGCCAGTTTCAATTTGAAAAAGAATTAACTGGCTTTACCTCATTGGTTGCTCTGTTGTAATATATCAGAAAGCTGACCCCATCATTTTAATTACAGTCACGCTCATAAAGTATTGAAATTGGAGTTAAAACACGAGATGACCTTGGAGGAGAGAGCTTCCTTTGAAGCTCAACGCTTCTATTTTCAACACCCTCTTGCAGTTAAAGAGAGTCATCTTTAAAAGCGCATGACGCAATTTGACTAATATCAGTCAAACTGAGCCTGAGAGGCTCAGCATCTCTAACCGTTCTGAAGGGTGAGTGGTTGAAAATTATTACTCCTAAGTGTAATTCAGAGTCTCAGAGAGGAGGAAAACTCTCCATGCCGCTCTTATTTTCTCTCACTTCAGTATCTTCTTTACATATCATCAGTTCAGGGTCACATAGACTTCGGGAATGTATCTGATGTGTGCTGGCTGTTGACTTTGACCTTTGACATTCTTACAATGAAGGAGGTGGTTAATGGTTGCATGTTTTGGCACAGCTGTAAGATTTTGGCAATGGTAAGGTTTTTGAAAACTTATTTTGTGGCAGTAAGGCTGCTACAGGTTTTTTGGACAAATTCTATAGTCTTTTGCTGTAATACTGAAGGTTTTGCTAGATTTAATCAGTGCATTTATAATATAATTTCTAATGATTATATTGTTAAAGACAGGTTTGTGTTTAAGTCTAGTGTTTTTGTCGCACCATGGAAATTTGTAGCATGACCAAAGGAGTGCTTCGCTAAAATTGTAAGATCTTGCCTCAAACAAAAGACCAGTTACTAAAACTCATCCTCATCATCTAATACCTATTAAACACAAAGCTTTTCAGATTCTTAAAAATCCTGAAATGTTGCATTCTTACTAACCTGTTACACAAAATGAATATCAAACATGTAATTTAGCATTGAGTAAGTGTAAATGCTCTGACCTTTAGTTTTAATCTGTTCAATTTCCTTGCTCCAAGGCAGCCATTAGTTTGAGTACTTTTCTTTGTTTAATCTTTCAAAAACCATTTAAACTTGGGGAAAGTCTAAAGGAAGATCAGTAACTTGTCACTGTTAAATTTGAGCCAACTTGGATAATTGTATACAGCACAGCACATCTCATGCAGTTTGATTTGCTACACTGATGTAGTAAGTCATCAGTGGAAACCTATTGTTAAATGACAGTTATAAGGGGAATTACTGTCTGCCACAAAGTAATTTCAACCAGTCGGATTTAAGGCATAGATAGAAG